TCTTTAGAGATGGCTTTGAAACCTTTTCTAGCCTGATGAGCAACTACAACTCTTTTTCTGAGGTCCTCAGAGATCTCCTTTGTTTGTGCCATGACACACTTCCTTCAAATTAACAGCTAATCCTAGAGATTCACATAATTTTGCCGCTCACAGATATTTAATATTGGATCATTTTGAATGAATAAATAAATAAATGACAAAGTATATATTTTCATCTCATTTTTGTTTGATTGGGTTCTCTTTGTCAACTTTCAGGACTTGCATGAAAATCTGATGATTTTTTGGGGTATATTTATGCCGAAATATAGACAATTCTAAAGGGTTCACAAACTTTCAAGCAGCATTGTATATACTAAAACAAAGGTTCTGATTCTGAAGGGGAAGCCGAATCCTACAAAACTTGGAGGTTACAGTTATAATATAATATAATATGATATAATATAATAGGTTGTAGTTTGGCCTACAAATTAACAGCATTAACATTAAAAAGCTGGTTTCAATATAAATTTTAAAACATTTGAGGAACTGAAACATTTAGTAATATAATACGCATTTAATATGCATTAATAAATAAAACACAATGTAATGTTATAATAAATTGTACACACAAACAAACACACACACACACACACGCTTATATATTTATAATAAACATTAACAATAACCTAAATAGACAGAGGGGCAATTAATGCGCTATGAGTATATTAATTCATAAGTCCATTGATCATTAATTTAGGATTAGTTAACTGCGTAGACGCTCACTTAGCTAACCCAAATAACGACTGAAGTGCCGCCAAGTAATTTCTTGAATTTGAGTAAAAATCTTTTAAAACATATGAAATTGCATGTAGATCAGTTGACCACTTGCTTCAAGGTCTCAACTCTTGGATAATGTTTCAGTTACTGGTTCTGCAGTGAATGACCTACCAACAGAATGCAGAAGAAAAACAACTGCAGCCTCATGTGAATTTACAAATCTGAGGGGTTTGAGAGCTGTTGCTATAGAAATGACATATTCTGGTTTGTAGCCACGGCAGCTATGTATATATAAATTGCATTAGACAAGAGCTATACGTGGCATTTGAGTAATGCTTTTTTTTTTTTTTGCTTATGAAGACAATACATTATAAACCGAAACATGTTTGTAAGTAAATATTTGCGACAATGAGGCCTATGAAGAAACTACAATATCGTCTTACCCTGCCAAGCCGAGAAAATGATACAGAGGACCGGTATAATGACGGCGTAGAAGGACATGCTGCTTCCAGTACACTTTCCGTTACACCAGACAAAAACGGTTACGTTTGCATCCTTTGAAAAAAGACCTTAAAACGATATAATCTGCCACGACTCGCAGACAGCGGAGCTCCGAATCAAGCGGCTTCGTGATCAACATGCTATCTGAGTGGAATGACACACCGCCCGTGACGCTACACGCCCGCACGCCAAATCTCCAGTACCAGCCTCAGCCTCCTCATTGATAAAATAAATTAAAGGACGTTCACTTCGCCTGGATAACGCTTATATTTCATATAAATTAAAAGTGGAAATGAAGGGAATTATTCAGGAGATTGACAGCAGACGCGCGAAATTCCACGAGGAAAAATGATGCCCGTGGGCTCATGTAGACAGCTCGCCTCGGCCGCTCTGAATAGTTCACATTTCTGGAGATAAATACACTCACTCACATTATATGTAGACTACACTGCGTCTTTTCTTAAAGTAAGAGGGTTATGTTACATTTAATTAAATGTATTAATCAGTTCGCAATACATACATACACACACAGGTGCATCTCAATAAATTAGAATGTCGTGGAAAAGTTCATTTATTTCAGTAATTCAACTCAAATTGTGAAACTCGTGTATTAAATTAATTCAATGCACACAGACTGAAGTAGTTTAAGTCTTTGGTTCTTTCAATTGTGATGATTTTGGCTCACATTTAACAAAAACCCACCAACTCACTATCTCAACAAATTAGAATACTCCATAAGACCAATAAAAAAAATTTAATACACGAGTTTCACAATTTGAGTTGAATTACTGAAATGAACTTTTCCACGACATTCTAATTTATTGAGATGCACTTGTATATAAGCGGTTTTTTGTTTTGTTTCATTACCTCTAACTCAAAGTTTGATCAAATATTCCCATAATTTGTCTGCTACAAATCATATTTGTTTTAAAATATAAAACTTGTGTATATTGTCTACTTAAAATGTGTAAATTAATGTAGAGTGTGCCACTACCCGTGTAGGTTGTACTGGAAAACATAGTAATTAAAACTTAAAAGAAATAAATTGTGTAATAAACTCCATATTTTCCTAAATCTTAATTTAGTTCTTAAAAGTATTTTTTAAAACAAAACTGAGGCCATTTGTTTTTAACAAAACAATGCCTAGTAACCTAACAACATACATATATAACATACAAATTTGCACGTTCATAATCAAATGTGTTAAATTCTAATGGTAAAGTACATTTACTAACATTTATTGCCCTCTGCAAAATATATCTTTGAGTAAATTAAGATTGTTTACAGTAAAAAAAAAAAAAAACTTTCATACAGATTTCTAAATCTGCAAAAATATTCTAGACATTTAAAATTTAGACCTTAACAGGCCTTTTATTTTGAAATTCTTCTCATACCTCAATGGAGACAATGCTGCTAATAAGACTGTAGGATCACTATGGTAACACTATATTATTCTTCATGCTCACCCAACAGTGTAGCCATAAAGATCATGCTCATGAGACCACATAATGACAAACAACATGGAGAACTTTAATAAGGCTGTCAACAGTTCCAACTTTTTTTCAAAGTGCAGATTCATCATCTGTCAGAAGTCTTTTTCCTTCCTTTACAGAAAGATTTTTTAACCATCGTGAATTAGTAGAGTGAGAAGGTACAAATGGACAGTTGATATTTTTAAATCATTCCTATACTGTTACCAGTCCCTTTGCAAAAAATTCATTCATAATACTAGACAGGTCTATCAAAGTATTGTTTTGACATCCGATTCAAATGCACCCACACAGTCCTGTCTGTGTGCCCCTCACACCCTGCTCTTATAACATCCCCGGGAATAATTGTCCATTCCTTCCCTTAATAAAAACACAGGGAGAGGCACGTAAACCTTTAAGTCCTCTTTTGGGTTGTGGATCAAGAACGTCGTCCGAAAGGCATTCCGAGTCCACTCAAATGTTCAAGTTTGAAGAAAAGATGACTGAGTGGTAAAGACGGAAACAAAGAACAAGGAGCCGATGTTGGGTATACAGGTCACATACCGATGGACTGCAAGACTCTTCTCTCTACTTCATTCAAGTGGCTTGAAAACATGCTATAGCAAGGCTGCTGAGCAAACTGGGTAAGGAAATCTGTCAGATACGCCTGTGGAAAAAAACACGGAGACGATCAATGAAGATATGAGGTCTGGTTACAGCAATACTTTAGTGTCGATGCCAAATAACTTACCTGAAGGTCAATTTGATATATGGGATCCTTCAGAGCATCTGGATCCTCCTCATCATCATCCTCATAATAATCATCGTCTATGGGGAAATCACAATAGGTTTTACAGACTATTTATAGAAAAGACAAGGTAGTGAATATGGAACGATTTGTGTACTTCATTGTTTTACTCATGTTTTTGTTCTTTTGCTTTTACTAATAAATCCTAACATGTAAAGAACAGCACATGTCTGTCCACCACAAAAGCTTTGCAAAAGATGTGAAGCAGTTATTATTGTTAACTAAAACTATTAAAACATTTTTGTTAATTGAAAAAGCTGAAATAAAATAAAACATATTAGATGAAAATGAATTTTAAAAATTAAGTATTTAAGTAGTTAGCAAATTAGTAAACAAATACATTTAACCTAGATAGTTAATTTAAATGTAAAAATACTAATATTTCATTTAATGGTATTTATAAAAAAAATACATTAAAAAAAATTACAAAAGCACATAACAAAAGTACTAAAATTTAAAGTAAATTAAAAAGAACTCAAAATATAAAAATAAAATTCTAATTCTAAATATTAATAAAAAAATTAATAGTATATAAATACTAAAATAACATTGATGACAATCTTTTTTTTTTTTTTTTTTTTTTAAATAAGGCTTACGGTATAGGTTTGATTCCTAGGAAATGTGTGATATATATCACAATATATGCAATATAAATGCAAATGTAACACTGTGTTATATGAGACTTCACCATATTTGTTGCAGGCAATGAGATCAGTCAGAAGCTGTCCTGCTAATCCTTCATCTTCCTCCTCCTCATCCTCAGCCAGATCATCCCACATTCCACCAGAGTCTGCAAAGCAAAAGCACTAAACTTAAGACGGCTCCACATTTCAATGTCAACGATCAGTTCTAATACTAGGGGTAAATAGTTAAACCACATAAGTACCTTGGCTCCAGTCTGCAGGATTTGCTCTATTTGCATTAGCCTCCACCACAGAAGACAGTTCATTGACGATGAGTTTAAAGATCTTTACCAGCAAAGGAATGCTGGTCCACCGCTGTGGGTCTGAGAGAAACAGATCAGTCAGATATCTGAGACAATAACAATTATTAATAATCATTCATTTGGCAGTTTAAGAGATCATTAACTTACTCTTGGCTGATTTGGAACGTGTACAGATTCCCTCGTCTAGATTAAAAATTTCATCTCCTTTGATGACTATATCTTGGAGGCGCTTGTCATTTGTATTCAGACCATGCTGGAGAAGTTTACACAAGGCAACAGCACTGTGGACAGAGCGATTACAGTGTTATTTCAAACGGAAGCTGTGCAATTTCTTCAAACACACTGCAGACATGACTGGACACCCTCACCTGACTTTGCCTTCATACTGGCCGTAGAACAGATGTTGGCGACTCATCCACTCAGCCATGACAAACTCTAGGGCAGGTTTCCCTGTGGGACCTGGAAGACTGCATAGGAATTCCAGCAGGGGCTCCAACTGGGAATGGACCAGGTGGGCAAAAACCATGATCAGGGACTGTAAAATGAAGAGTGAGAATGTATTTCACACCTCATTTGAGCCAGCAGCTACAGCACAATTCAGACTTATCTGCTGTACAAGAAAATTAAAGGGGTCTCTATTATGCTTTTTCACTTTTTCAACTTTAGTTAGTCTGTAATGTTGCTGTTTAAGCATAAAAAAGATCTGCAAAGTTACAAAGATTAAAGTCCACTTTAAAAGGAGATATTTTATTAAACAGAAATCACTTTTCAAAAACTACAACAAACGAATCGTTTGGACTACAACGCATATTTTCCGGGATTTGTGATATCACAAATATCGACAAATGGGACGAGACTGAGCTGCACTAGAGAAGGCAACGAGTGTTATGGCCATATGCACTGTTCATACGGGACACGTCCTGGCCAGGATTTTAATATTGCATAAAACATCCAAAGCAGTTTGACCAATAACATGCAGGTATTGTATATAATCGACCAATCGTGTGGCTGCGCGTGAGATGGTGAGATCTACAGGGAACGTTTAAAGCGATGCAAATATGCGCACGTGTTTGTTCGTTTGTTCGACTTGAAGCGTCGTTGCGCACCGATAAAAAAAAAAAAGACACCAAATTAAGTAGGTGCGAGAGCTATTCGAAAGCATATGGAGCCGTCTGCTCTCTATAGCTCTCATGAATGTCACACAACGATCGACCTGCACAGTGCAAACAGCCAAAACCTGGATATTTTAGGCAATATTAAAATCCTGGCCGGGACGTGTCCCGTATGAACGGTGCATATGGCCAACCTAGCAACGAGTGTTATCACTATGTCGGAGACATGCTAGCTTTCCCAAGGCAGACGAACTTAGAGTGGTTACAATCATCCGGGTTTAAATCGCACTGATTTGATTTTGATGCAATATTTACATTGAAGCTTGCAGGCGGCTATGGTAAGGGGCATGACATTTCCCGACCAGGTGCCGACAAGTGCTGCCAATCACAACACACACTGGCCCAGCTAACCAATCACAACACACACTGGCCCAGATAACCAATCACAGCACATTTCATATTTCAGAAGGCGGGCCTTCATTTGATACAGGAACTATTCGAGCCGTTCATGCCAGACTGGGGAGAGAGGTGTTGTAATAATGTAAAATATGTGAAAAATAGACTTTTCCAGGCCTGGAAAGCACAATTTTAAAATTCCCTGATATTTCCAGGTTTTCCATGACCATCCTGTTATTACAAACAGAGGTTTTCAAACTTGATTACAATGACCCCGGAATATGCTGGAGGACTTATTTCAAATATGAAATAAACGGCAACAAAACACTTAATAAATAAATAAATAAATAAAATGAAAACTGATTAAATAAACCAGTCTTTTGAAAATGTCAAACAGTTTGCCTTGATCTTTTGGCATATAAGAGGTCTTAGTACCATTACAACATCCTGCAAG